GGGGCCGTGGGGGGGAGGAGAGGGAAGGGCCGGGGTGAGGGCTGCCTGCAGGGCACGGCGAGGCGGTGGCAGGCAGCGGGGCAGGTCGCTGTTTTCCTCAGGCTTGCGGTGCGAGCGGGGAAGGCAGAGCCCGAGGAGGTGGCTGGGTTGTTGGAGACCCTGCCTGCGCGGAGCGACGGGTGCAGGGGCGCCCTGGAGGAAGCCAGGAGGGTTGTTAGCTAGGAAGTCTTTTGCTCCACGTACATTTACTGACTTGTCCGTAGGCCTCTTTTCTCAGTGGAAAGCGTGTTCCTGCAGACCTGACAGCAAAACACTTTCTCCGAGGCCTATGGAATCGAAAGTAAAACTGCCCGGCTGGTTAGGCAGGCCTGCCTTCCCTGCCAGTGTGTAGGGGGGGCTTTTTGCTCTGCACTAGAATTTCCTGTCTCGCTCTGTGTCTCATCTTTCAAAACTTGTGGCTAAGTTTATCTTCTTCCGATTGACCACAGTATTTTTCTCACGTTCCTTCCTTTACTTTAAGAGAAATCTTAATTGCATTTCAGTTCTTGAAACTTTTAATTTTCTAGTGGTGTGATTTCTAACGATGAAGAAGTTTGTTGCTCTTTGAGATTTTTTCAGTGGGTCAGAAGTGGGACATCTTGCCTACATTCTTTATCTCCCTTATCTCTTGTAATAGAGTAGCTGTGTAAAGGATTGTTTGTGTGATCAACTTAGTTTCCAGTAGCAGTAAAAAAGAATGTGAAAAATCTCAATATTCTTAGTTAATAAAGCTCTATTTCTTCCCCGCATACTTGTGTTTGCAAGGATTGAGGTTCTGGTTCATGGTACTGCAATCTGTGACAATTGGCTGTTTTTATTGATTTGAGAGCATTCAAGCATATCAGACCGAGGTGTTGATGCTTTTCCTTTTTTTATGAATGGTGGCTAGATTAATGATGCTGAATACCTTTTATGACTCTTTGGTTTCCTTGAGAGTAAGTACATGGATGCTTTCTCTTAAGCGTTGCCTGTGCATTTCAAGACCTTAAGTTTCTGAGCCTAGAATATTGTGAGCCCAATCCCGTCAGTTTTTTAAATTCTGAGATTGGTACGGAAAAAAAATGAAGTAGAAATTCAAGTACAATAAAAATTTCTTAACTGAGTTAAGGTAGGTCAAATAGTGGAAGAAATAAGAGATAGTTTTCTCTGGAAAAATAGCATCTGTAAGTGATAAAACTAAGACGACAGAGTGTTAAAACATCTAAATGTCACTACAGAAATGGACTGTGAAGAGTCCAAGAGCACATGGAATGCTTGTCTTGTATCTGTCTTCTCCGTCCTTTCTGATTTTCAGCTGTGAAAGCCAGTTTCTCATATCTATTGGCTTTTGAAGTTTATGTCATTATCCTGCCTTTTCATCAGTACTTTTCATCAGTACATTCACAGAAATGTTAGGTATTAAATAGAAGTTCTCTTAATGATTAAGTTTCTCTTAATTCCCTTACCATTCCCTTAATCTGGACCAAACTCTATCTCTTCAATCTTATTTCCTATGGAAATGAGACCCAGGCAAGTCTGCTGCCTGCTTCCATTTTTCTCTCTTTCCCACAACTTTTGAACCTTTCTGCCAGTTTCAATCAAATTAGGCAGATGTTTTGAAGGTATAAACTTTCTACAGATCTTGTGGTAACTGGCAGCTGAGGAAAAGTAACAAGGTCTGAATTAGCATTCTTGCTGAGGGAAGGGCTGTGTCATATGCTCAGTGGACAGTTCTGTTTTGTCTGTGCTGTTGGCTGACAGTCGTGTGCTGACCCGTGAATCGCTCTGTGTGTATCTTGGAGGCAGCAACCGCACTGCCTGCCTCCTGCCATCAGTGGTGGGTAGACATAAATGAGCTGGCAGTACGATCGGAAGGGTTTGCGAGATAAGGAGCTATATATGTAGTAGGTAGTCGGGAGTATCGTGACATAAGTATTCTGTGATACAGGACAGAAATCTATTATAAACTAGATTGTTGGCAGTCTTTTGGTGACCAGGGTTCATGGGGGGGAAGCAGATAATACTGCCTTGTGGTTGAAATCACAATGTACCCGATTATGCTCCATCCCTTTTCTTTTTATCCTATCTTCTCTGTTTTGTTTTTATACAAACAAATGTCAGATACATCTTTAAAACAGAATTCTGAGTTCCTAAAATTAGTAAGACTTGAGTACTGTAATGATTTTGGTAAGTGACCATGTTGTTAAAAGTTACAGCTGTAGCTGGATATTTTATTGTTTTGTATATTTTTTTTTCCCAATCGTATTTGAATTACCCTACTAACAACAGGTGGGGGACAAAGATAAAAGCTGGAGTATTGGAATTGTGGTATGTCTTTCCAGCATTTCTTTAATCGAACAACTCTTCCCCCCCCACCCCGCCCAATGTTTTCTTTTTAAACTTAGCTCCCAATTCATTATCTTTCAGAATCTAACACTTTTTTAATGAATGTGTTACTCTTATTTTTTTTTTTGTTTAGTAGACTTCTTGGTGAGAGACGTTTTAATACAATTATTGGAGAGTCTCATGCAATGTTCTAATGGACCTAATCTTACTAGTAAGATATTACAGTGATGTTTAAATGCTAAAAGCTTCCCTTTCAAACCCCTTTTGTTAAAAATGTGGGAGAGAGTTTAGCTGTCTCAAACTGATGGAATTTCCAATGCGGATTTGCAGTGAGTAAAGATTAATATACTTATTGTTGAATTTGAAACAAAACATGTAAAGGATTTGCATCTCCCAGGTGGATCTGTGAGGAACCCACTTAACTGGCCTACAGAGATGGAAAAATTAGCTCACACCTTTAATACGAAGGGGTTTAGGGGGCTGCTTAGTTGTTTGGGTTTTGTTGAACCCCCCCTGCCTTGGTTAAGTACTGATTTAATAATAATACTGTTTTAAGATGATGTAGATCAGTGTTTTTGAAATCCAAGTAGTTCTGAGATGTTGAGCTGTGAAACCTTTTAGTTGTAGATATGCATTAGGGAGCCAAATTTGCTAGTACTTGTTTAAGCAATGCTGATTTGATTGGTCTTACTTCCATAAATCAGTGTCAGAAAAATTTCTTCATTGGTGCTGTTGCAAATTACTGTCAAAGAGGATGAGTCCTGAAGACAGGGATAGGATCACCAGGATAGTGACAGATCCCAGACAGGGATAGGATCCTCACCAGGGACAGGATGAGAAGAAATGGACACAAAGTGGGGCATAACAAATTCCAGGATGATATTAGGATAAGATTTTTCACAGTGTGGTTATTCAGGTACTGGAACAGGGACTCAGAGGGGGCCATTGCATCTCCATCCTTGGAGATACTCAAAACTTAGCTAGCCAAGTCCCTGGTCTGATTTGACCTGCTTTGAGCAAGGGAGTAAACTAGGTGACCTCCAGAGTTTCCTCCCCGTGTAAATTATTCTGCAATTCTGTCCTTTTTTGTTAATATTTGTTATCTTTTGGATGCTTAGCCAAATGAAATGAAAGCTTAGAGGGGTGCAACCCCCAAAGATGCTAAAGCTCCTACAAGTCCCCAGAAGAACATTGGTTGAGTAGAAAAAGATACAAATTGGAGCCTTTGATAACTCTTGATAATTGTAGCCTTTCCGCTATCATTTCCGTTTGTTCTGCTGGCGTGGAGGTTTGTGCATACATCTTAGTCAGCACAGCATGCTTTTCCAGCTGGTCCTTGTGCTATATGGGAAGAGTGCTTGAGATGACTGGGGAAATCTTGGGAGGAATGAGGAAAGAGGGGAACGAGATGATGCCTTTTAACAATGAGGACAGTCAGACATTGGAGCAGGTTGGCCAGAGAGGTTGTGCAGTCTCCTTCCTTGGCAGTTTCCACGACTGGAGCCTTGACCTCATAGTCGACCCTGCTTTGAGCAGGAGGTTGAGCCCCTTGAGGTCTTGTCTAACCTGAATTGTCCTATGATCCTAAGTAGAGGCAGTGGAAGGGGGAGTATTCTTAGATGTGTAGAAAGGTCAGTGAGGTGCAGGTGTTTGCTGATGAATCAAATATTTTTATTCATTTTTAAGCTGGGAGTACCTTACTTTCATCAGTCTTGGATTTTTTTTTTGCACATGGATTTCTGTTTATGTTCCAAGATCTTGTATACCTCAAGTTGCAGAAACTTCAAATGCTTTTACTTCACAATTCATGCTGAAGACAACCACTATAACAAAATGATTAGTTTTTAACCTGTTGTTAGGGCCATTCCTTAGTTCAAGAAAACTTACCTTAAACCTGTATTTTATTCTGATGAGTCAGGCATTTGTGAGTTATCTTACTTCGTTAAGAACTAAGTGATCATGGGTGGGCTGTCAAAGTGACTTCAATATATCAACAACAAATTAAAAGTACTTATTTTCCTGTGATTCTGCAGACTTGCCTGGGTAACACAATGCCAGCGGAGCGCAAAAAGCCAGCAAATATGGAAGAAAAAGAATCTCCGTTAAATAATAAAGAAAAAGAATTTAGTGAAAGGCGACCAGTGAGCACCAGGGAGAAGCCAAAAGAAGATGTCAAGGTTGGCATGAAGAGAGAGACTTTAAAGGTTCCTGAAGATAAAAAGAAAAAACTGGAAGAGGATAAAAGAAAAAAAGAAGACAAGGAGCGGAAGAAAAAAGAAGAGGATAAAGTAAAGGCAGAAGAAGAGCAAAAGAAGAAAGAAGAGGAAGAAAAAAAGAAACTTGAAGAAGAGGAGAAAAAGAAACAAGAGGAGGAAGAGAAAAAGAAACAGGAAGAAGCAGCTGCTCAACTGAAGTAAGTTGTCTTTTAATGGTTTACTTGTGCCAAGTGCTGTAGTCCTGCTATCAGGGTTGTGGGTGGAATTATAAAAGATGAACTGTTTGAGGTACTTATTGTAAGTTGTATGTAGTGTTATAAATGTTATATGGCTAGCTGAGCATGCTTTGACTTCTGTGTAGTTTTGAGTTTTCACCTCTAACCTCTGTTACTTTAGTCACTAATATCGGGTTTTGATAGTGCTCTCCATGTGATGACCATGTAATGCACAAATATGATTCAATCAAGAAGCACAGTTTCTTTTAAGATGCAGAAGTGTTAGTGTCATAAAATCGGGAATACAGGCTCTAACAGGTCCACAGACCATAACAGGAGAAAATCTACTGTGAGGGATGGCTGTAATTTCTTTTAATCGGTCATAGGTCATAGACAAGTGATACCTAGATGGCAAACACTGAATGTAACCTGGCAGTTTAATATGTGATATTACCAAGACAGTGTTTCTTAGTATGTTATCTAAAGGTACTACAGTGTTGAAGATAGCATCTTTAGACCAATAAAGCCAGGATTCCAGACATTCTTGTGTTTGAAATATGTCACTTCCTAAGACTGAGGCAATGTCATAGCCGAATTCTAGCTGGGACAGGTGTATTTCACCTATTTAAAACTTTCTGTGTAATTTCAGTAGTCTGGGAATAAAAGATTTCCCTTAACTGTAATACAGTAACCTGTTGAAAGGTTGTTGTCCTCTTCTGTAAGAACTTCATCTCCGTCTGGAGTAAATGGAGTTTTTATTTTCTAAGTCTGTTGGGATTAATATGTTCTGCATAGAAATATTAGAGAAATTTCATTTTGTAACAAGTAGTACTTGCCTTTTGCAGCAAAAAAAATTAAACAGAGTAGTCCATGAAGCAGATGCTTTAGCTTTCTAGGATTCACTTGTTAAATATTTAAAAATAGAGTATTAAGGGGAAATTATGTTTAGAACTGCTGGAGGGTTTCCAACTATGACTTTTTTTTCCTCTGAACTGTTAACCTGAAAGTAAGGTTCTGTAACGAAAATGACTAATTTTTATTTCTCTTAGAGAAAAAGAGGAAGCGCATCAGCTCCATCAGGAGGCTTGGGAGCGCCACCAGGCAAGAAAAGAGCTTCGCAGCAAAAACCAGAATGCACCAGACAATCGCCCTGAGGAAAACTTCTTCAGCAGACTGGATTCCAGTCTGAAGAAGAACACAGCTTTTGTTAAGAAGCTAAAAACCATTACAGAGCAACAAAGGGACTCCTTGTCCCATGACTTTAATAGCCTGAATTTAAGCAAATACATTGCAGAAGCAGTAGCTTCTATCGTGGAAGCCAAACTGAAAATATCAGATGTGAACTGCGCTGTGCACTTGTGTTCCCTCTTTCACCAGCGCTATGCTGATTTTGCTCCTTCATTACTTCAGGCTTGGAAAAAGCATTTTGAGGCAAGGAAAGAAGAGAAGACACCGAACATTACCAAGTTAAGAACTGATTTGCGTTTCATTGCAGAATTGACAATAGTTGGGATTTTCACTGACAAGGAAGGTCTGTCTTTAATCTATGAGCAGCTTAAAAATATTATTAACGCTGATCGAGAATCCCACACTCATGTTTCTGTGGTTATCAGCTTTTGTCGGCACTGTGGAGATGACATTGCTGGTTTGGTACCAAGGAAGGTAAAAACTGTTGCAGAGAAGTTTAACTTGGGCTTTCCTCCTAGTGAGATAATTAGCCCAGAGAAACAACAGCCCTTCCAGAATTTGTTGAAGGAATACTTTACATCTTTGACCAAACACCTGAAAAGGGACCACAGGGAGCTACAAAATATTGAAAGACAAAACAGGTGACACTTGAATGTTGCTTTTTGTTTATGGAGAAAAAAATAGTTTATTTCTGAAAAGCTTAGATTTGTTGCAGTATTTGTAAACAACGTCTGTTAGTGGTGTGTAGAAGATAAGTGTATTCTGCAATATATCTGAAAAAAGTTCTAAATTTGCTCTGCATACTTAAAAAGCAAAAACCAAACAGACTCTTGGAATATCTTTAAGGAAAATGGAGGTTGACCTTAGGCTTTAATTCTCTATACCTCTGTAAGATTGGTGATGTTCCCTTAGCAGCTTGAGAGTAATGCTTCTTACCCAGCTGGTACTGTCCTTTTCCAGTTGGCACAATCTAATTTCTCCCTTTCCACCCACACGTATCTAACGAAGCATATGCCACAATGGCTTTGGCTTGTTTACTTTTTTTAGTGTGCTAGTATGGAGGAAAAATTCGGTTAGAAGACAATGTATCCCTTGCACTTTGATGTGGGCAAATTTTATATATTAAAATGTTGGAGGGTTGATTCACAATTTGATTCACATCCTCTTAAATCTATATGAAATACTAATATCGAAGGGTATGAATATACACACCTTTAAGATCTGAATAATTTAATTTCTACCATGACCACATTGTTTAATAATTGTTTGCTTTTCTTTAAAGCATCCTGAATTGTCATTATTGGGGTCAGCCTGAACCCAACTGCTGGTCTTAAAACATGGTCATTCTTAAATCCTTTTGGAAGCATTGCAAGCAGACAGAAGTGAGCATGGTACTGTGCGTAGGCACAGGTTTCAACTAAAAGGCTGAACATCAGTCCAGAGCCAAATGTATGCTTGGAATACATTAAAATTTGGTGTTCCCAAACCAACGCTTTAAACTTGGATCCATTGTGCTGATGGGTATTGTGCCGTAGTCCTATCTGGTCTCGGTCAGCTAAGTGGTGTGTTTCACAGGACCATAAACTGACTTTTGAGCTACCATTATTTCTACAAGTACCTTATTAGTTTAAAGTGTGTTATTGACTTAGTTGTTATTTTTTAAAGTTAATGAATATAAACTTTTAGACTTTCACAATTATAATTGGTTCTGGGGACATCAGTTCTGGCTGGGATTTAAAGGAGTGAGTGTTGAAAAGTCAGTACAATAGGAAATAAAGTGGAAAAAAAATTCCAAGAGATATGAAGAATGTTAAGAAACCACGAAGAAGAAAGAACGTAAGCAATGTGGAGAGGGAAATATACTTTAATGTTTACTTGCACAACTGAATAAAAATGACGGGATAGAGCCCTGAGGAGCCTGGTCTGATCTCGTCATTGAGCCTGCTTTGAGTAGATCAGACTAGAGACCTCCGTATGCACATTATCGCCTGAATTATCCCTGTGAACTTGGGTGCGAGTTGTTTTGGGGAAGGAATGTGAAGAAGTATAGTTTATCACTGGATGAAGATAATTCTATTTTATCTGTCTGAACTTTTAGATGTTTATTTTAGCTGCTTAATAAAAGTTGGGGAATAGGTTTTGTTAAAGATACAAGGCATCAAAAAACTTTCCTGCCTAGTTTTATTTGCTCTACAACGTGTCTGTAACAAGAGAGATGCTTGGCATTTGCATGCTGTGGATGTGCAAGGCATGAGGTCAAAGATAGAAACTTGCCTGGTAAGAAGTCTGTGAATACTATAGAAATCTTCCTAAACTGTGGATTTCTGAAAAGTGATTGTGGTGATGTGGTGGTGTTGTTTGTTGTAGTTGTTGTTTTTTTTTTTTTTTTTTTAAAAAAAAAAAAAGGAATAATCCCATTGGAAAAAATGGTCCTCTGTGTATTTGAAACCTGATCCACTTTGCTGATAGCAGCAGCTTTTATTCCCACTGTTAGTCCAGAACTGGTGAAGTGAACAGGGAGCGAACTGTTCCCTCTTGTGCATCAACAGTTTCATCTGTTTAGGTCATGATATTTTGTCAGGTAAATACCTCTTGAATTTACCTGTGTCAGGAGAATGACTGTGAAATAACTCAAGCTGTACAGATCGGTTGAGTTAATTGAAAATGAATATGCTAACCTTAACAGTGCTTTAATATTGTGTTACCTGCTGAATCATTTAGGTAAAATTAAAGCATTATTAGACACAAGGGTTTCTGCAAGTGGATAATTAGGAAAGCTACTGTGAGTTACGCTTTGACAGTGGAACCTGATGGTCGCTTGGTTACACAGCTAAGGGCACAGCACAATCTGTGTAGGCTGTGTCACTGGAAGGCAACAACTTGATTCCCAAATTCTAGTCTGAGTTTTCAAAAATGAGTGTTAGATATGGAAGAGACTTCTTTTGTCTAAATTAAGGATGTTTTTAAGATCTGCTGCACTGAACCTGTGTTGTGGCACTTCATGAAATTCTGAAGAGACAAAGTAAGATAAGTATTGTATGTTGTATATTTAATTGTATTCAAAAATGAATTGTGCTTTTTAAAGTTTGCTTAGTATGCTTTATTTAGCTTGCTTGAATTTGTTAACACTTGTCTTTTGGGAACTGAAACTGAGAACTGAAGCTCTTGTACTGTTGTTACAGCACGTTGCTTTTTTGTTTTTTAATAATACCACGGAGCTTCAGTGCTCATGTTTATGAGGCTGCTGGTATTAAACTTAAAATATGTACATAATGGATAGCTGTCTCCATGGAAAGGCTATGAATTGGCACTTAACATTGATTCCTGAATCCAAACTGAACTACTACACTTTAGAAATTGTCAATGGTTATTTAATTTGTTAATTTTTCTTGCTCTACTTTGCAGGAGCAGGTAAGACGTTATATAGGTGTGTTTTTGTAAGAGGGTCAAGAAATAGAACTTTTTCTAATGTTACTGCTTCTAGCCCTCTGGCAAGACATCTATGTCAAGTTTTGGTTCTGAGCAGACAGGGATTTTGTTGCTCACCCTGTAAGCGTGTTGCGTACAAAGATGACTTTGGTTTTACAGTTAACCCGGAACTGAAAAAAACCGAGACCTATATCCCTCAACTTACATTCCTTAAACTGTTTTAGAATTTTTATGCTGTGAAATGTTTGAGTCTTTTTGGCAAGAATGTGGTTGTATACTTACTGCTTAATAAAAGCCTAATGATAATGTGATGATGCAACCTGCTTTAGGAATTACGGCATTTGCACCTTATTCCAAACTTTATCTTCTGATGCTTTCATCTCGGTGCAGGGTGCATTGTCAGTGCTTACAGCCAGTTAGTCCAATGTTACTAGCATTATTCAGGCTAGTGTAAAACAAATTGGAAACTTGCTAGGCAAGCTCATTCTGTCCGCTTCCCTTTGAAAGTCCACGTTTGCTCTGAGCCCATTTGTATCTTAGCTGTAGCAGTCCCCCAAACAGCTCAGCTGGCCTGAAGTGTCCCCTCCTGGGAAAGAACTGACTGTGCCTCGTCCTCGCAAGAACTGTTCATGCAGAGCGGATCATGCCAAAGATGGGGAAAATGCACTTCTCGGGAGCTCAGGTTGGGGACAGACTAGAACATTGCTAATGAGCAATCAGTTTATTCTTAGTTAATCCAAAAATCAAGGATTGACAGTCTTTCATCAGTCTTCTGTGGCAAGCTTTGTACTAGCAGAGGTTACCTGTTCTGTATATTTGGTACAAACTGCTGAAAGTTCTTGATATTTGTTGCTTAAAATCCAGGATGTTTTGTATTTCTAGCTTGTATAGGGACTTTTACAGAGGTTTCTGTTATTTATATTCCTTTTTGGTGTTTGACTTTAGAAGTTGTATAACACCTTACCAGAATCAAGAAGTGTACTTTTTGGTTGTTTGTAACTAATAAATTGAACTAAATGGATGGTAACTTGCTGATAATTATCAAAATTGCTTTAGTCCAAGAGTTTTCAAGGGACTTGAGGAATTTTTTTTTTTTTGTACAACTTTTATGTTAGAAATGAGAAAATACAAGAAGAAAAGCTGTATGTTACTTCATAAAATTTTATAATGTTAACATTGGCTTTTGGTGTTTTCTGAAATAATCGATCATTTTAGATTACTTCCTTTTCTTAAAATATGTAGTTACAGTAAATAAGAGCAACTAAATTCAATAGGGAGTAAAAGGGAGTCTTTTGAAAATGAGGCAAAGATTTGTCTTTCTGAAATGAAAGATACATCTGTAACTTGCAGTCCTAGTATTTACTGGATGATTTTACAAAGTGATGTCAATTTAAAATGCCTTGGCTTTCAGCAAGCATAGAGGGCTTTAAGTGGTTTTTGTTTTAGCATGTTTCTGTAGAGAAGATCTGGTCTTGTCAAACCGATTATGTGAAGTTTTATATGACTTTGAAAGTAGATAATGAAGACTGGCAAAATGAAAAAGTATGTAGTGAGTAACACTTTTGAACTATATTGTCTACTGCTTAAAAACAAGTGAGACCATTTTTAAGCTGGTATATGGTGTTGAGCAATAGCTGGTGAATCGTTAGGCCTTAATTGTAGTTAGATTGGTAAGAAAAGTGAGTTGTACTGTCCTGCGTCAATCCTGCAACTGCTTCCCTGTGCACTTGTAAGCAGTGATTATGTTCCTTTAAATGCAAGTTGCTTTTGACAAGATTTCGGTTTTAAAAATGAGAATTTAAAATAAATATGGATAGTTTCATAGAAGAAAACAAAGAGCAAGTGAAAAATAAATGTAACTGCTCTTGATTTGGACCGATAGCCTTGAAATAACTTGGGTTGTTGGAAAATTAATGGACTGGTTTTAATGTGCAACTTTTTTTGAGCTTCCTGGCAATGATTGCCCATTTGAACAACATGGAAATGTATTCTTACAGATGCAAAGCAACTTTTATCCAGCTTTCATGTTAGTTGAATGTTTTACTATAGAGTCTTTTCACTGTGCAGGACTGTTAACAGGATAATCATGGCATGCTCAATGATACTGAAGTCGGTAATTCAGTATGGTTGCTTAGAAAAAACAGCGTTGCTCAAATTTTTGCTATTGCAGTCTAAACTAGGATACTCACTGTTCCCTCAGAGAGAAGGTTGGCTTTGCTCAGTAGAGAAATCAGTAGTGGTTCAGCATAGCTCAAATATATTTTAAGAAAAAAGGTTGTCTTACTGTAACTTTGATTTTTGTAGGCGCATTCTTCACTCCAAGGGAGAGCTGAGTGAAGATCGACACAAGCAATATGAAGAATTTGCAATGTCCTATCAGAAGCTGTTGGCAAATTCCCAGTCTCTAGCTGATCTTTTGGATGAAAATATGCCTGACCTTCCCCAAGAGAAACCAACACCTGAGGGTAGGCCATCTACTAAAGCAAGTAAACAGGATGCTGGACTTGGCTTGGATGTGGTGGGAAAGCTAACCAAACCCTCTTACTGATGTGTTCTTTCCATTGATTTCTTTTTATTTAGGCTTTCCTCTTTAAGGATATCAACAAATGAATAATACGTAGTTTTTTATTAAAGTAATTAAACCTAACATATAACTGTAACTATTGTATATGCTGTGTAGTTACAGTAACTTAAGTAATATCTCTTTAGATTTGCTTCAGGTAATACAGGAATAAATGGAAAATTAAAAACGTTTTTAATCTAATCCTTCCCATTTAATTTAATGCATTTTTTAAATATTTAAAGAACTGTATATGTTAGAGTTTTAAAATCTGATAATGTTAAAAAATGAGTTTGAAGTATATTTTGGGTCATGATGTTATAAGCAGGAACATATTGTTAAGCCAGATAAGTCGCTAGGTGGCTCTCTGACCTCCTGAGAAGTACAGCATTTAACTGGCAGAGCTATTCAATGCCTTAATGAATCTCAAATTTTAGATTTAGAGATGTTGTTGAAATCATGGGTGTACCTTTTGTCTGCAGTGATCTTGAGCTTAAAAAAGCTGTATTTCCTGAATGCCTCTAAATTTATAATTATTCTTTTTAAACTTCTGTTCTTAAAATACAGTGGGGTACAGTTCATCATGCTCAAAGCGATTACTTTTTAGGCTAATGCAGGTAAAGTCTGTTATAGCTTTCCTTTCTAATACCACATGATGTGTTGCTTGATTTTACTTGATTTGACTTTCACTCTGACACTGTGTTTTCTATCAATGGCAAATTTACAGTTTTAACATAGCTTATTGATATATCTAATATTAAGATTGGGTTGCTAAAAGTGGTAGTAATAAATAGGTTAACATGTTTCTAAAAGTATTTTTTTTAATCTTTAAAGGTGCCTGCATTTAGAAGGTGAGAAATTTGTGTACGTAACTTTCTTATGGTTTCACTATTTGCAGAACATGGACCCGGTATTGATATTTTCACACCAGGAAAACCTGGCGAATATGACCTGGAGGGGGGTATCTGGGAAGACGAAGATGCTAGAAACTTCTATGAGAATCTCATCGACTTAAAGGCTTTTGTGCCAGCAATTCTGTTTAAAGATAATGAAAAATGTTCCCAGAACAAGGATTCCGGCAAAGATGAATCAAGAGGTAGAACACTTAGATGAGTATTTTTTTTAAAATATCTTGTCCAACAGGTATGCAAATTTGATGGAAGTAGTGAGTCTCCACTGAAATAATTTGTGGTGATCAGGACAGTACATCAGTTTGGATGAATTTTTGGGGAAGAAACTATGTGGGAATAGGGATTATATCTGGGTGTGGTATTCAAGGAAGGAAAACAAGTAAATGCATTTCAGTATCGGTAGAATTTTAAATTTAAAATAATTGGAGATTAACCAATGTGAGTAAACCTTAACTTTTCTGTCAGAAACCTAAAAGTTTACCTTCTTTGAAAGGTGTTACTGTTCATTCTGTTTTTTCCACTAAGTTGTCAATGGTAGCCAACTGTCTCAGTATAAAATTCCAGTAGATTGAAAGGCCTGGATGGTTCCTCACTTCTGATGCAGCCCTAGGTTCACAACCAGGCATTGGTAGACTTTAGTTGTAATGGGATAAAAATGGCGTTCACCTGCACTGGCTCAACGTGTAACAGAAGATGCATGTTTGGATAAGAGCAGTGTTTTGGCGTTGAGAAAATGCCACCAAAGACACAGGCTACGCGGTTTTCTAATACACTCATGCAGTAGGTCAGTGTTGAGTATTAATGGAATTTCAACTTTATAGCTCATGGCCTTCTTTCTGATTTCTAAATTCTGAAATTTCCCTGTGAGGATAATTAGATGTTGGAGCAGCTTGCCCAGGGAGACTGGAATCTCTGCCTTAAGAGATTTTTCAAGATAACTGGAAAGAAATCCCCGAGAAAGCTGCTCTGAATACAGTGCTCATTGACATTGAGCAGAAGGTTGAACTAGAGACCTCACCAAGGTCCATTCCAGACTAACGATTCTGTGATTCTAAACAGGTTGCTTGCTTTGTGAGTCTGCTGTTTCCATGTGACGTGTACACTGTTTAGTTGTCATGGTTTTGTTTGAAAAAATCAAGTATTTTAATAAAGTTACTTGCCTTCAAAATTATTTCTTTTGTGAAGCGTAGTCTGCAAATGAGGCTTGAAGGAGGCCTAAAAGAATAGTAAAATGTTGTGGATATAGCATTTTTCCAAGAGATTACTATGCTGGACCAGTGTTGTCCAAGAAAAACATTAGCTATTCCTTTCTGAATCTTCATCTAGAGATTCATAGATTATTTGTGCTCAAGGAAAATATGGTTTTTATTTGACCTTCTTCATAGCACATTATTTCTTCAGTATCTTCTTCCTGTTTGCTTTTTGCTTTTTTTTTTTTTCTTGGTCTGTACAAAATACTTTACCTTGCTTTGACAATTTTGTTATCAGCTGAGCTTTGAAGAATATGCAGTGCAAACATTAAATTAGAATTTGTACCTTTGAATCTGGCTCTTTTTGACTAATGTTTGTGATATTCATTTACTGGGGTTTTGGAGGATACTGTTTTTCTATCTGACCTTCCCAGTATGCAATTGTTTTTTGTTTGCACTTTACACGTGATGGCCTGGCAATCAATTTTAAGCACTTTTGGACTTGGATTGCTACATTTCTGAATATCTTGTTCTGTCTGAATTGTATGCATGTCATCCAGTGAAGATGTACCAGGTATAGTTCAGAACAAACCAAAGCACTAAAAACTGTTGTCAATCCTTAACAGTTTTCAGGCGTATGGGTAGAGCTATATGAGGGATATCAAACCACTGAGACCTAACCGACGAGACAGTATAGTCTCAAGAAGTAGATATTCTTTTCCACATTTCCTTTTAATGCAACTAAGACACTCAAGAGATGTAGGTTTAGCAACGTGAGTCTTCCTGTATTCTAATCATGACTGCGTGTGTTTAATAGTTCAATATTTCGACTTGACTTTTAAATAGATTCAAAAGATGCCAAAGATAATAAAGAAGCACCTGGGAGCGAGGATTTGGAGTTGGAGCTGGAGAACCTGGATATTAATGATGATCCTCTGGAGTTAGACTGTGGAGACGAGGCAGAAGATCTTACAAAAAAGCTGCTTGATGAGCAAGGTAAAAAGAATTGGGTTTAGGAGTTCTTTTGTTGTTTCCTGATTGTTTTTTTTGAGCTTAATGGTTTTTAGTCAGTAGGTAGAGTGACTTCAGGGAGAACTATTTATTGATTTATGAAACTGTAGTAGCTAGAAACTCTTAGGATTGTGGTAAAAAATGCATTCGTAACAACATTCAGATACAAGTGAACAGTATTGTACGGAGGTTTATGTAGTGAAAGTTATTGAATCCATCATATAGCTTTTAAAAATAAATCAAATGTGAAGGCAGTTGTCTGAAAAATGACTAGAAGTATGTAGGCTTCAGTGCATAAATTATTTTCTTATCAAATGTGCTTAGGGTACTAATAAAGTATTTTCTGCTTTTAACTTCTGTTGAAATCTAAGATTCAGCTCTGCCTTTCTGTCTTATTGTTAAAGACTTTCCTTTTGACGTTATGGCTTTACATAGCAGGATTTAAGAATTCTAACCTCTGTGCATGAAGGGCTGCAAATGGCACCTGTGAAAATCTAGCTGTGTTGGGTTTTACTAGGAGAAACAGCAGCAAAATGTTTCTTAAGAATTCTTCTTATGAGTCGCAAGCTTTTCTTTCAGTGGTACTGAATAGTGGGAAAGCAACATCAGGTGTTAAGAGCCAAATTCATAGAGGAGCAAGTGAGGTGTCATCTTTGAGCCTGGTTTGTAAGACACATCGGTTTTGCTGCTTTGGATTTCCAAGGACCAATGCAGATTTTTTTCTTTCATTTCTGAAGCAGGAAACTTGTTCTGTGTCTAGAATGTGGAAAAAAATAGCATCTAGAGTCCACTGGCTGGAGATTCTGTGGCTTAAAAGTGAAAATCTTACCTGATCTAGTGAATTTATAGTCTAATCATCCTCTTGCTTGAAACTGCATTGGGCTATAAAACCTAACAAGTTAAAGCCAAAACTTCAAGCCGTGGAGTTCACATCAAAGCAAAGAAGTTCAGGCCCTGGCAAAGACTGTGTGTCGGTGTTTAAAGCGTAGGTTCATCTAACCAAGCTGATGCATGGATCTGTGGGTTTGGACGTTGAGTAGCTTGAACAACTCCTCAAAGTGCTAGTCTCTCTCAGCTGACAATAGGGAAGTGTTAGGGCATATGGGTCTTTAAGTTGGATGCCTCTCTTGTGTACCTAAAGTTAGTTGAGCTGAGATTAAGTTTGGGACTGTGCTGGTCTGTGACACCTCACAAATTTGAAGAAATTAGACAGCTCCAGAGTCAGACGGTTTCAGATTCCTTCTGAAAGGAAAACTGTCAGGATAATTCTATGTAATATTTCCTTAGGTTTTTCCTTTCTTTACTCAGACAGGTTGGAAAAAGCCATACCCTCTGGAAAAAATTTTCCCTTCCATTTATATTCTTCTCTGAGTAGTCATCAGCTCATTAAGCTGGGTAAGATGTTAAGTTTTAATTGCAGGACGTTGACCTTTAGTGAGTTGTTACCCTCTGGTCAGAGCTCTCAAACAAAACAGTGAAGAGCTTGGTTCCAGCTATCTGTAAGGGAGGTACACATAGGCGTTGTCTTGGAATCAAAAGGAAAAACAGCAGTTCATTCTGGATTGGTCATAGCCTGCTAGATAGGCCAAAATACTTTGTCAGTAGACATCTAAAGGAACGTGGATGTTTCCTTCTTGGTTTTTTTTTTTTTTTTTTTGAAAGGGTTCTTCACTTGATAGGAGGATGAAGATTATTCCAAATCTAAAGACAAAGCTAAGTAACATGAGAGTGAGATCCTGTAGAAGTGAGGAAGGAATAACAGGAGATGAGATCAGAAATAGAAGATGCAGTTTCTGTATAGTTCTAGCTCACTAGGAGGCAATGCCAGTTTGAGCACGTACAGGAGCCCAGAAGGGACTGATGATCATGCTTTTGATTGTAAAAGGAAGATGATGCATGCTTTGTCATAATATAAAATATTAACCATCAATACTAGTTTCCATTTTTAAACTAGCTGTTGACTAAACATATTCCCATCTGAAAGGTTAATCTAAGGTGTCTTTGCGAATTCTACACCTTTGTCAAATTTCTTTGATACTGACAAGTAGCTTCATAAATTAATGATGGAAATTAAAATAGATATGATCGCCAAATCCTTGTTCTGCTAGAAAACTAGGCTATAAATTAGCAGCATATAAATGTTACTTTACTTGAAACATATAGAGAAACACAATGATTGTTTTTTTGTTGTGGGTGTGGAATTCTGAACACCCCTAGTTGGTAGCACCAAATATACAGAATTAAGAAAAATCTTAATTTAGATGATGTTTCAAGTTCTGTGATGTATTTCTATCTAGTGAACCGGTAGATTTTTTTTCAGCCTTTCTGTTAAGTAAAATTCACTTAGATTTGAAATTAGGAAAATTAGGTGTCCTTCAGCTGCAAAATATAGCTTTAATTTTCTTCATATGTACAGAACTTTTGTGCATCTGTACTTGAGGTAAGGTAGTAGTAATGTTTTGTGCAAAGCCAGCAAAGAATGAAACGACTGTATTATGACTCTATTACAAACATAAAACAGAGTATTTCCAGGTTGAGATGGGCCTTTAGTATAAAAAGGGAGAGTGCACAAAGTATAGCAGGGTCTTAGATGTAAGGTCCAAGATGAAGAAAAAAAGCAGCTTTAGTTATTGTGATAATCTGGGGGTGCGGATTTCATTGGCAGAGGGAATAAGTAAATTATAGAGGGGAAAATAGGATAAATAGGGTAGACAGTCCAGTCAGACAGTGGGTACTGCATATCTTCTGTTACTTCTGCATCTCCTCTGTCACTTCTCTTCAGTCTTTCCTCCCCTGTCCAAATACGAGGGAGACAGAGCAGTTTTCCAAAGTGTGTGTTTTTAAAGCAGGTCTGCCCTGGTGTAGCATCTTTCACAGCATTGCAGTGCCTGTTTCTGCACTTTTTTCCTAAAGGTTGGAGTCCATAGTCAGCTAAGTTTAAGATATGACATGTAAAAGGAAAGTTGAAGCAGTTAGTTGAAGAGGTTTGCTTACCAGGAATTCAGCTAATTTATTTTGTTTCTCTATTGTGTTAACTTTGAGTGAATCTTAATTTTCTTATTTTCAATATGCTCAGGGAAGAGAGAGGGAGCAGATAGCACCGGAGCTGAAAATAGTGACGGAAAACATGCTGAAAGAAGTGAGTTTTGAGGTTGTTTTTAAAAAAGAAGATAAAATGTTAAAAAAAAAAGCTGTGTGAATGGAGACAGAGATGTTAAGTAAGGAATGGCCAGGGTGGAAGCCATCAAGGGTACTGGGAGCAGGAGGAGTCTGATGTTAATATATATCTAGCACCAGTTTTTGTAAGGTTGGTCAGCAGCAGAGATGATGTGTAGCAGTGAGTATTAAGTCAAGCCTGTTAATTTTGCTACAGTGTTTAGAGAGCTAGCAAAGTTCCTATCAGAAGAGCAAGAATTAAAAAAAGATCTAAAAATACTCATTAAGAAATAGTTTTTGGATTTGGAAGACTTGTGAGACCAGATTCTGAACACATTGCTCAGCGAGGCTTTGATTCAACAAGATGTTTAACATTATGCTTCTGCCTAAGTGTTGTACAGAGAAGGGGGATCCAGCCAACAATTTGCTCACAGTGTTGGTTTGTACCATCTGAATGTGACGGCTCCTGCATGATCAAATTCATTACAGAAGCTCATCTCACAGAGGAATAGCTACTAGCATCACAAAAGCAATTCTGTTATTTCCACTGAGGGGAAGAGAGAGGGAGCAGATAGCACCGGAGCTGAAAATAGTGACGGAAAACATGCTGAAAGAAGTGAGTTTTGAGGTTGTTTTTAAAAAAGAAGATAAAATGTTAAAAAAAAAGCTGTGTGAATGGAGACAGAGATGTTAAGTAAGGAATGGCCAGGGTGGAAGCCATCAAGGGTACTGGGAGCAGGAGGAGTCTGATGTTAATATATATCTAGCACCAGTTTTTGTAAGGTTGGTCAGCAGCAGAGATGATGTGTAGCAGTGAGTATTAAGTCAAGCCTGTTAATTTTGCTACAGTGTTTAGAGAGCTAGCAAAGTTCCTATCAGAAGAGCAAGAATTAAAAAAAGATCTAAAAATACTCATTAAGAAATAGTTTTTGGATTTGGAAGACTTGTGAGACCAGATTCTGAACACATTGCTCAGCGAGGCTTTGATTCAACAAGATGTTTAACATTATGCTTCTGCCTAAGTGTTGTACAGAGAAGGGGGATCCAGCCAACAATTTGCTCACAGTGTTGGTTTGTACCATCTGAATGTGACGGCTCCTGCATGATCAAATTCATTACAGAAGCTCATCTCACAGAGGAATAGCTACTAGCATCACAAAAGCAATTCTGTTATTTCCACTGTCCGGGTGATACTATACAAAGTAGACTGAAGCTTTCGGGCAGAGTGGATTTTCTAGGAGAGAGCCCTCTGTAAAGTTATAGTTTTGTAAAAATTGAAAAAAGACGTGAACGATGAGGGAGCCAGGGCTTTATCAGAAAGTATGTGTGCAGGGAGAGGGGAAAGCGAATAACCGTTGTTACTGAAGCAGAAGATTGATTGGCACCAATCCTTGCAGGAGAACAACTTCAGTAAGTCCTTAGGGTCTTCTCATACTTTCTTCCTGAATATTGCAGGATTGCATGCATTTCTGGTTAAATGTAAAGGTGTTTAAAAAGAAAAAATAATTTTTCTTTCAGTTTCTAGAATGATCTTACTGCATGATTTGATCCGCACCCAGATAGACTATTACAAATAGTCTAACCGTAATTGTTATACATTACTACTTGTAAATTTTTAAAAAGAGGTAATACAGTTTTAAAATGTAGTGATGATGAAAGACTGGAACTCAAGAGGATCAAAGTGAAAAGCAAGAAATGAACTCATTTTTTGCATGAATTGCATATTTAAAATCGTTGTTTGCCTTAGAGAAGGAAGCTCTGACCATTTCACTTCCTGTCACTGTAAAATTCTTAATTTTCTGTTTTAAGTCCCAAACCTGCTTCAGGTACTACAAAAAAGCCTTTCCTCTTAGAAAGGATCCACCTACTGATGAGAAAGAAATAGATAGAAATATAATGTGAGAATATCTGTAGCCCTCCAGTGAGGGAGAGGACCAGTGAAACAAGAGATATATTTGGGAACTGTTGAAATTGAATGTGATAGCAGGGTCTCTTGAAAGATTGTCTTGAAAAGTGACTGAATTGTCGAAGACTTATTTTTTTAAGTTACTTCAAGAGCATTGAGTCAGTTTGAATAGAAGACTGAGGTGAGACAACTAATGGCTGTAAGGGAAAAAGGGGAAGAAAAGGAGACAGGAAGGTGTGGCTGTAAATATCTAAATGGAAAAATGCATTAAAACAAGATTTGGTAGTAAAATTGTCTGGTTTGAGCTATTGCATGCATCCTAGTGAACTCTAACTTTGAGTATATGGGTGATGAGAGAGTCAGGGTTCCTTAAACTTCATGGTCCTCTTTTGTCAGAGCATCTGGAACTTCTTCCTTTTCTTTTTTCTCCTTTCTTAATGAACCCTTCTCTCTTGTTCTTCTGACTTCTAGTTGCCTGTGCAAGAGAGGAGGCCATCATTTGCTTCAGTCTCTGGCATCTTCAAGATAGGGTAGCTGGTAGTGTTCCTTGGAACAATTCTTAGTGTTTCTCTACTTAAGCTCTACCCCTACCCCCAGCCATCTCCAAAAAAACCCAAGGAAAAAACGTCCTACAGTGTAGCATCTTTGTTTTCTCTTTGCTTTTCACTAACTTGAAAAAGGAACTTCAGTCTTGTATGCTAGTTTAGCCTGTAAAGACAAAGTGACTTTACCAAGTCTTGGGTTATTTTGTGGTTTATTTGGGTGCAATTTCACCACTACCATATTCACCTTTTTGAAGGCTGGCTGTCTCTGCTCTCCTTTCAAATACCTCCTAGGTATTCTTGTTACTGCCGAATATCCTCAAACTGGAAGGAAACGAAACATTATCATGTTCCTTTGTCAGGAAGCAGTGTTCTTTTGTGTTGCTTTGGCCAAGGAAGGGTTCTTCCCAAGCATTTGTGTTATAACTCATTGTTTTGGCTCGTGTTGTGCTCTATAGCACAACTAGACTCTTGTCTAGGACTTAATAAAATCTGGAAAATTTTTGAAGCGTACCACATGTTTTGCAGTTAAAGGGTAACTGTAGGGGGATTGGTCTGGTGAGATCTTCATAGTTGATACCAGAAAATCTGAGTTTCAATGGTAGAGTTGTCCCGCAGTCTTTTGCTTGAGTAGTGTTACTCAATTAGTAGATACAGGTCGCTGTCTCTGCTTCTTATGTTGCAAATTACATGGAAGCATTTGCTTAAAGAACAAGTTGTCACTTGCCTTGCAATTGCTATGTGATCAACCCTCCATCTGCGTTGCTTTATGGTTCTATACCCTGGTTTCTGTACAGCTGAAGGAATTGAGTTGGCCTCTAGCTTTTACATGAAGTGAAAAGATGTCACGGACATACTGGATGAAAGAATGGCCTTAATAAACATTTTTGATCAAAAATTCTATTTCTTCTACAGGGCAAACATACATAAAAGAATAGAATCCACAATTGCATTAAGGTGTTTTGTTGGTGGGTTTTTTTTATTTTCCCCCATGTTTAGGCCTTCTTGTGGTCCTCCTTTTATCACCTAAAGAAATTACCATAGTTTTCTAGGAATATGTATTTGTTGTTACTCCTGACAGTATAAATTAGGAGGTAGGGAACTCCATGAATAGGAAGACATGCTTTAAAGGTGATACTTTTGGCTTTTGTCAGCATAGACAATCAATGGATTTTTTTTTTTAATTAAAAAATGAAATTTTGTATTCATCTTTATATCCTAGTTTTTTGAATCCATGGATGAATGTTTAACAGCTAAACATTACAAATGCACTGTCTTTGGGGTATGTGATTGTAAATCATTATATTTCATAGCTTAAAGATGTGTGCTGCTTGTTTATTTCACTCTGTTAGAACAAGAGGATGAAGAAGCCAGTACTGGATCTCATTTAAAACTTATAGTAGATGCTTTTCTTCAGCAGCTTCCAAATTGTGTCAACAGAGACCTCATAGACAAGGTATAGTCATAGTTTCCTTTTTTCCCCACTCTTAAAAGCTATAAGGCTAGATCAGATTGATTGGAAATAAAGATTTGAAGCTTTGGAGTCTAGCAGTAGCTGAATTCATTTTTAACCTGGAGGAAATACTTTCTTTTTCTCACTTAGTCAGCCATTGCCCAAATACCAGGTGATATTGGTTTTGTCTGCCCATTCTCTTATGTTTTAGTTTGTTTTAGAAGTAGACTTGGCTTCTTCCTTTTTAATTCCCATCATTCCCTGACCAATTGCTCCCCATCTACCTAAAGCTGCTTTCTTCCTTGTGTTGATCCAAAGAATCAGGTTATATTCCTGTAACTGGACATGTGTTTTAACTATGTCAGTTCTAGACAAAAATGAAGATTTTTTTTTTCTTTACGTTTGTTTTTTAAAGCAGCTTCATGTAACAGGAATAGCTCTGTAAAAGATGCTTTTGAAAAGCATGCTATATTGCTTTAAATAAAAAAAAGCGCTGCATTAAAGGTGAAGTATTATATTGACTTTTCTCTTTATAGGCAGCAATGGATTTTTGCATGAATATGAATACAAAAGCCAACAGAAGAAAACTAGTACGAGCACTTTTCATAGTTCCTAGACAAAGGTAAGAACTAAAGGCGAACAAGCTGGATCCACCCTTTGGTTATTTAACTTAACATACGTATATGTGTTTTAGCTGTTTAAATTCCTGAAGACCAGTGCATGTTTCAAGTTGTATTTGTTTATTCCTGATGTGCACTTCTGGAGTGATCTGTGTTGGAGCACCAAAAAAATATGTAGGATTAATGATCAAGCAATTCACCATAATATTTTGCCATAGCAGTGTAAATTTTTTTAATAATAGATTTCTCTTTTCTAGTACTGTGTGTTTATAGTGGATCTTTTCATGACTTTTTTTAACCATGAAAACAACAACAAAACCTACCTTCTATCAAAAAAGGAGGATGTATCTCATTCAGGAGAACTTGTGGGTTTTTTGTATAAGAACCTATGAATAGTTAGAGCACAATGTAGTTTAGGAAGGAGGATTTCTTGTGATATGTTAATTCTGAATTAGTACATAGCCATTGTAGCCTTTTATCTTCTGGAACAGAGCTGGTTTCAGGCTGGCCAGTTTAGAGAAAGCAAGGGTAAGAGTGTGAGCCTGGCCTCTTCCATCTGTGTAGATCTGTCCAGGTAGAGTTTTCCTATGTCTCCTTGTGTGAGAGTTCCCTGCACTTACAGGAAGAGCCTTGCTTACAGAAATGATTGCAAATATTGAGATAAAGTTGTTAAATTCATTGGAAGAATAATGTATTTCTCTGCACTCTGGTAAACTTGTTCCTTAAATAGGTGCAATTATGAAGGAGTCACTTTTCTTGCTCCACCTTGCCCTGTTTCTCCTGAGAGGTTGTTTTGGTGCTGCTTTTAGTTTCAAATGTTTCATCATCATCTTGGATTTCCTGTTAGAGTTCACACCACTTTGGTTCCATTCTCTTTTAACACTGGGGAAAAACCATGGTTTGTTGAGTGTCTGTTTTGTTTCAAGGCTTGCATAGGCTACTGCATTGAATAAAGACTTCAGTGTTTTGTTTTCCTTATTTTTAATCACTTAGTTCTTGCATTGTGTTTTCAACCTTAATTCTAGGCTATTTCTACATCCCGTCTGTAATAAGCATCTGCTGTGCTAACAACCCTGCTCTTAGTATATAAACTAATGGTTTGTTTGCTGACTGTATGCATTAACCTGATACTAGTTTTGCAATTAGAAGTGCACATGATCTTTCATTCTCTTATGTATTCTTTTCTCTAAAAATTATAGTTTTGACACCTCAGTCTTTGGAGACCTTGATAGAGGCCTAATTGTGCCTGAAATGTGAATTACTGACAGCAGAGGCAGGCAGTTGAATATCTTCTGTGTTAGATGTGACAAGGTGCTCCTCAGCCCAAATTTATGACGTAGAAGAAATAACCTTTTTATTTGTCAGCCTGCTGGTAATCATGAAATGCATCAAAACACAATTTGGCAGGAACTTTTTCTCACAGCCTAGAACAACTATAGCAATGTAAATCAGCAGGATGACTTGGACTTTTGTCTTCAGCTCTACCATAATAGAGAATTTTCCCTGTTTGTTTGCAAAATGGAAATGGGTTGTTGGCTGTGAACATACAGTAATATTTATACCACTGCCCTGTATTTCTCCCTGGTGCTGTAGACTCCAGATGGCTCAAATTGGTCATTAACTCTTGGAACCTCTTTGAAGATGTGCGATTTCCTTGCATAATCCACTAAAGTGTACTAGATGATAATGACCTAAAGGAACTTGTTGACATTGTACACAGCAAAAGAGGTAGTTCCAAACAAGAGCAACGTATGATGGCTTGTCAGTTCAGCAGTGTGGTTTCATAGATACCATGAAAGCAAAAGTTAAAATTCCTAGTGTATTGTGGTATTAAAAAAAGATGTGTCTTTGATCGGGCTGTACTAGGAACACGGTAAGTTGCTAGAAATGTATACAGTCTCCACGTTGCCGGTGATTTGTTGTCTTCCCAATGGTAGTTCCATTATCCCACAAACTTCTTTTAAAAAGAATAATAATTTTTAAATTGTTAATTTTTCTGTAGGAGCTCAGTAGACTAGTATAGATGGTCTGGTTGGCTCAAGGAGCTGCTATCTTCGTTGCAGTTCTGTTCTCCAATAGTTGGAACTAATACTGAAGCAAATGGCTCAGCTGATCACTGTTGTTCTTTAATTATAAATATTAATTATTCTTACTATTAAGAAATACTAATATTCCACGTACAATTGTTTTTTTAAATACCTTTTTCTGCTCTCTGCTCTGAGACCTACTGGACTAATGAATAGTCCAGCTTCCAGTTGTAAGATCTTCAGTACGGTTGTATGTAGCTGCCTGTTCTTTTGCCTGCATTAGTGATGCCCGTCTCTGGGCTACTGAGCAGGAGAAACAGGATGTTGACCGAGCTTCTTGTTCTGAACCACAACAGTTGCAATGAAAATACCAGCTGAATTGCCCATAGATGCAGATGATTTTGAAGGGCAATCTATCCTAATATTTAAGTTAGCTTTATTACTGCAGTTGCTAAAGGAGCAGTTCTGCTTTCTGTCTTGAAATCAACGTTCTTCACTACGAGGGTGGTGAGGCACTGGAACAGGTTGCCCAGGGAAGCTGTGGATGCCCCATCCCTGCCCCCCACCAAGGTTGGACGGGGCTTTAAGCAACCTGGTCTAGGGGAAGGTGTCCCTGCCCATGGCAGGGGGGGTGGAAGCAGATGGTCTTTAAGGTCCCTTCCAACCCAAACCATTCTATGATTTATAATCCTTGTGGAAACACTCCAGGTGTGTATATGGCACACAGTACTAACAGTTGCTATAAAATGCTACAAATTCATTTAGAAAATTATTTAACACACTGCTTCGAAGCTTTGTATGCTGTGCATTAACAATGTTTTTGCTTCCTGTATCTCTTCACTGAGCCATAATGATCTGTCTTTACCTTCTGTTATTGTTGTCGCATACTAGTTTTTACTAATTCCATGAGTTTCTGCAATAGCTCTTAAGGATACCATGAGAGAAGAAAGCTTGTTGTGGTTATGTTCTTGAGGAGGTTTTTTGGCAGGTTTTTTTTTTTTTTTTTTTTTTTTTTTTTTGGTGAAAGGTTCAGAGGAACAGTGTCCTTATAGGATGTAGATAAAGCAGTGTATTTTCCAGAAGCATCCTTGTGGGATGTAGATAAAGCAGTATATTTTCCAACAGTGTTTAGTCTCCAAGAGTATCAGATAACGCTGTCTAAGTCTAGCTATTATGTTGGCAGCCATAATAAGCTATTTCAATAACAGAGTAAGTTCTGTTTCTTCTCTTGAGAGATCAGTTTTAGGAAATGTGCAGGCACAACAATTTTAGCAAGAAAGTATAAAACTGGTTTCGTGTTTGAGGAGTAATGCAGGCGCTGTAAAGTCAAAGTCATTATGCAGTGTTGCCAGGGAGCTTTCTTGCTCCCATTAGGGTTGGATAGATTGGGACAAATGCAGGATTCTTCAAGACAGAAAACTTAATTTGACAAAAAAAGGACAGTTTTTCCTCAACTAACTATAGATTAGTGTTAGAATGCAAAATCATTGCACTGCTCTGTTGAATACTTACGAATGGATCACATTTACATTTTCAGCTGCGATTTGAACCTCCAACCCAACAGAACAGAAAGCCTTTTAAAAAGATTTTTCAATGGTACTATACAAGTGGCTTTCAGATTTACATTGGAGAATTGATTTAAAACTAAATATTAGCCTTTTAATTCAGGACTATATAGTTTGCACTAAAGCAACAGTGCAGTGATTTAACCCATACTGCTCGCAGCTTTAGGGCATTTATCTGTAAGTCTTTGCTATCTAACTGAATTATCTTCCAGTACAGATGCACATAATTATTTATGTTTAACTGCATACTGCAATTTCATTGAATTTTTTCAACTTTGATATGAGAAATTTGAAATATCTTTTTAGGCCTTCAATTCTAAACAATTCTAGACAAATGCTAAACAGTAAATAGGGGCTGCTGTGGCTCCCGTTTTTTTTTTTTTTTTTTTTTTTTGCCATTCCCATCTATGGTGATCTACGAAGTTGTAAGTTTACTAACCAAGAGATCTGTTGTTCATCATACGGAAATTTTTAGCATTATCATTGGCTGTTCTTAATTCAGCAGTTAGCTGCTTCTTGAGTGTTAAATAGTTCTGAGCGTTTTAACTCAAAAGTTGTAACCCTCCTATATATCTACCTTCTTTCAGCTCTTTATCCTGAGAATCCTCAGAGCAATGTCCTTTTTGTTCAATTGAACTTGACTTACCAGTGTTTCAGTGGTGTGTCTCATTTGAGGATAAAATTGAGGGATGTGCTTGAGATAAGGAGTTTATGCCAGTGCTAAGAAGCAAAAGCAAAAAGTGCTTATCTGAGAGCATGCCAATTCCACAGCATCATTCTCTTCCCACTGAGCAGTGTGGGTGGCAGTTTGTACCTGTTCAGGCCCTGCATTTATCAGGATTATGATTATGCTTGTGAGGCAGGAGTTCTTGCTCTGTTGCTTCATTCTTTAAGCTGTCTTTCTGGTAGAATCCCAGTTAACAAATGTACAAAATACTTCACTCTTTCTGGGTATAAAACTTTGGATGTACCTGTTCTAGAGAGATTGCAATTAGGACTTTAATTGAGCAAAGTTGGGTTGTTTTTGGTTTTTTTTGTGGTTTGTTTGGGGTTTTTTTTGTTTGTTTTTTTTTTTTTAAATAAACTAATGTTTTATCTTGTGCAAAAAAAGACATGCTCTTAGATATTTCATTGAAGTGCAGTCCATGTGATCCAGAGATCCAGAGTTGACTAGATTTCAATCCAAGGTATGTGGTCAAAATGACAATGGTCAGAAGTAGTGGTTATTCACTATGGTAGTTTGTATCAGGGTGCTTAACATAGGCTTCAGAGACTGACTCATTCCTGATGCTAGATCTTGCTTCATAATGTGGAAGAGCAGGAAGAGAAAGCAATACTGTGGGTTTTGTGGGTTTTTTAGTTAATTTCTGCCCCCCTTCTCAAGAAGAAGAAATGCCTTTGGAGAAAACAAAAAACGTAGTTAGATGAGCCTTAATGCAGGTACCAGTAGATGGTGCCACTGATACTGCAATCTCTCCAGTCTGAACAGGAATTTTTGTCTCCCTTGTGAGAAAGGGAATGGATTCAGCCTCTGGTTGCCAATTTCCCAGTAATTGACTCAAGGCTTTTCCTTATTATATTTCACCTATTTAGAAATACCCAGTCTTAGTATTCTTCCCCATGAAGAAACTTTTTGTGTTCTGTGAGGGAATAACAACAATGTGCTCTAAGACTTTAATTTTCCCCCAGGTATGTTCACTTTACAGACATGAAATTATTATCTCTCAGCAGGCAGGTACTTGTTCAGACCAGAATAAAACTTTCTGCTATTTGTGTTAAAAGAGATGCCTTACAGAAATCCCCTCAATTAAAATATGCACCTTCAATCCAGCCACAGTCCTTTTTTAGTTTAGCTTTTGTATGTGTGCATGAAGTAATGAGACTTTCACTTCTTCTCTGAGAGTTAATGGCTAAATGCTTAATAACATTGTAGTAATTTGCTGTGGCTAGTCATCCTTGACTGTGTGTTCCAGCAAGCTTGAAAAATGTAAATACTGCTTCAGTTATTGATTAACAAGAGAGAATAAAAACTTTTAAATAGGTAACCAGGATATCTGCAATGTTTCACCAGGAGTTTTATGTAGTATCAGGAGACTGCTTAGCTTTCCCTCTTTCAGGTAGTATATTCTGATGCTCTAATCCGCAATTTAAATACATAATTATCCCTCTTTCTGTGAGTGGATATTAAAGATCTTGGAAATGTGCTCTAGTGACATAGCAGTAGAAAGGAGAGGGGAGGCAGTCGTGTATGCTTTGTTTTGGGGTTTTTGTCTTGATGGTCTTCCAGTTTTACTTTGTGCCGGGGCAAGCTCTATGTATCGACTGCTTTTAGATTTTTTTCAGCAGCACCTCTTTGGTTTTTTCCTTTTTTTTTTTTTTTTTTTCCTTTTCCCTAGCAGTAGGGAAAACCTTAGTCCTTCTTAAAGTATAAACTCAAGATCCATTTTTCCCATACAGGCAATTTCTCACTTGAAGCATGCAAATTTAAGATGTTTCTCTCCACTTAAAACAGTAGGCTTGTTCTGCAGTTCATCTGTTTAACTTACGTTCTGAATATAAACGAAAAATACTTTCTTCAGCTTGTTAAACGACATTATGAGGCCTCAGAGTGCAGTTGGTTTCTCTGCCTTTAAAAGTGATACATGCACATTTATGCAAAGCAGCTGTGTTATATTCTGTGTCCTGTCTCACGATGCCACAAACCAGGTTTAAGGGCATTTATCCCATTTTTACAACCAGACAGTCTTTAATGGCAAGAAACAAAGTACAAACCAAGGAAAACACAAATTGCCCTCCAGAATTCCCTAAGGGAAACATGCGATACTATGAAATGAGTATGAAGGCATGTAATCAAGGAAAGAGGAAAGAAAATAAGGGAAGTTCTATAGAAAATTTTGAAATATTACCATTTGTGGGAGTACTAGCTGAGTTTTGGGGAAAAGCGTTGCCACATCACATCTGCTGAGCTTTGTTTTATGTAATAACTACTACGTTCATTTAGAAGTTCACTGCCTTAGAAATAAAGATGTTCTTACCTTCCTGGTTATGTCTGCTGCTACTCAAAAAAAACAAAAAAAATGCAATAACAAATGGAGTTGTCTGTAAGAATTTTTTCATTTTGCATATTGAGAGGAATCCAGATTTTGTTTGTATCTAGTAATTTCTTAAAGGTCGAATTCCGTAGTTAAGATGGTGTTTGGCATTTCACCTAAGGCAGTAGCTTTGAAAGGAAATTAACTGTGAAGGATTCCAATAGGATGTAGTAGTATTCCTTCTTGTATTGTTATTTTTAAATGATATTGCAGTCTGAAGCGTGAGCCCCTCAAATTGCATGTACATAGTTCTGTCAGTATATGCACATTCATTCCTTTCACAAGTAAAACGGTACCCATACTTGTAGACATAAATACATTTTTGTCTATAGATTAGTTATCTATTTTATCATCTGCTTTGTTTTCAGGTTGGATTTGCTACCATTTTATGCAAGACTGGTTGCCACATTGCATCCCTGTATGTCTGATGTAGCAGAGGATCTTTGTTCCATGCTGAAAGGGGATTTCAGATTTCATGTATGTTTTATTGATTTTGGTTTTTGCATTCAAATTAACCTATCTGATAGTAGTCATCCTTTGGGGAATAAAATAATGCTTGATATTATGTAGATGATAACTCTTAAATTCAGTGAGTGTTTTTCTGTCATCTGAGCGGATTTGTTCTAGAATACTAGCTTTGTACATTTAAAAAGATTTTTTTTTTTACAACTTACCATATATGTTCGCATATATAATATTAAAATGAACTGTACAACAGCTAGAACAAAAGTTGCAAAAATTAGAAACTGTGCTCTAGCTGTAAGTGTTAAGAGTTTTCTGTAAATTAATAACTTGCATTTAAAATGAGAACTGACCTATTCTAACAACACATTCCCCGCTACAAGGTTACTGTTGTAATATAGTGGTTACTATTGTAACGTAGTGCTTAATTCAAATTATTTTTTACAGTTTTCATCAACCAAAATTTCCTATTCTTCACAAATGTATCTTTCAGTTTTGTTTCTTCCACTTTGTTATAAATTTTGTAATCAAATTGGTTATGGTGCACAGTGATGATTCCTTCACTGTTTTCTGAGTTTTATAGCAGTTTATGGATTTCATTTTTTTTATTTCCTAATATTGACATGAAAAATGTGTATGAATTGCTCCGGCTTACTTAAGTCTTAACTATATGAAGTTAACTGTTCTCAGGAAAAGCTATTTCTGTTGGAAAGAAATACGATTTTGTGTTTTCTGGATTATGTTTAGACATAGATACAAATTTGTACTTTGTTAGTAAAGTTATGCTGGATGTCAGTAAATTAAAAAGAAAGAAGAAGAAAAAAAAACTCTGCACTTTATTAAACCTGACTTGAAAAAGCTGTCAATGTTTAATATTTCCTTAGGGACTATGCAAGTGGGGTCCTATTCATATAGAGACTACTTATTGATTCTAAAAATATAGAATTCTGTAGAATCTAGAATACTTAACCACTACTTCACTGTGGCAAAGGTGGGGTGGCCACGTTGGTGTGTGTCTATAACTGTAGGTAAGTTAGAGGACTTAGGTTTTTTGGGGGGCAGCAGGATGGGGAAAGAAATTCAAAAGCTTCTGAAGAAACAAGGTAGTAGAGAGACTTCTAGGAAACCTGGTGATAGGTAAAGGTAGAGCATAAGGAACCAAACAAATATCAAATACTTCTGAATTCCCGAGTTTATTAAGCACGTTTGGGTCAAAGTCATTTATAAGAGGTAGGTATTTTTGAGGGCCTAAAATCAAATGTGGGTGGTTCTTTTTTTTTTTTTTAGGTGAGAAAAAAGGACCAGATCAACATTGAAACAAAGAATAAAACTGTGAGATTTATTGGTGAGCTTACCAAGTTTAAGATGTTCTCAAAAAACGATACTCTCCACTGTTTAAAGGTTAGTGTTGTGATAGTCCTGTTCTACTGTATATGCTAATACTGTATCCCCAGCCTCCAGCCTATTCCCCTTCATATATCTATTGCCGATGTTATCCATTAATCCATTGCTTATGATGTTTTAAGCCCTGATGTCTGTTGCTACTGTGCACGAGGAGACTTTTATAGCTGTTCTAGAAGTTAAATGGTTTAATTTTGCTAATGGTAGGAATATATTAAGATAAACTTCCACCTTTGGACATAACCAAATTGCTAATAATTTTCTTTGTAACGCAAATGTAGACATTGCTACTTATCTGCTGTATCTTGCAAAACGAAGTAAGCTTTTCTTTCCGTTATGTTGATGTCAAGTCATCTTTTTACAGAGAAAATAATAGTAAGGGGGAGGGGTTAGAGGCAGAAAGCTTTTCAGTGATGGAAGGAGATGCTTATATGCCATCTTAGCAGGTGTTTTTGTTTGCTGAGGAACAAAATAAATCTTTGGAAAGCATTCATCTCTGGCTGTATTATCTCAGTTTGCATGCTAATAAACATTCAAACTTATCTTTGATGTCAATTCCCAAATTAAAAATGGGTTTTAAAAATAAAAGTGCCTTTTATAAAAGGTGATTGAAGACTTAACATGGGTTAAGATTGCTTCCTCCAGGAATAGTTTCTATTCATTGACCCATTAGGCATCGAAGCTGAATTCTTAAAAATTATAGGCACTCGATCATTTTTCTTCTCTCATTTATAAAATATTGTAAAATGCAAAGCTCTGTTAATTTTTAGTTGTTGCTTAACTTAATCAATACAATTAAATTTGATGTGCTTTGAGGTTATTGTGTCCCTGTGCGAGATTGTTTGGTAGTTTTCCAGTCTAGCAGCAAAGGGGTATGGGAGAGATTATAGTGTTTGTTTTAATATTGTAGGTGGGTTTTTTTGCTAGGCTTAGGAGGCATCCTGGTGTTAGGTTTCTGGAGCCTAAATTTGCGGTCTAGACTGTTCTTATAATGCTTTTTCAAATGAGCTTAATATTTTGAATTTTGTTAACATCTGATCAATGAAATCAATTTGCATTTTTTTCTTAAAGAATATGAAACACCACAATAGTGTAGAGTCTAGGAGATATAACTTACTGTTTTCTGCAGTTGAAAAAGATGTTTAATATGCTGTGTTTTTATATAAATATATATCAGATGCTTCTGTCAGACTTTTCTCATCACCATATTGAAATGGCATGTACTCTGCTGGAAACCTGTGGAAGATTCCTCTTTAGATCACCAGAATCTCACCTAAGAACCAGTGTTCTTTTGGTAAGAGAAAACTCATCGTCTTATGGGGGAGGGTGTCGTGTACTGAATTAAACCAATTACTTCTTTTATTTCCTGGCTTTGTGGTGCGGTCTGACCATAACAATGATTGTGACTAATATCTTAATTATCAGTTACAACGTTCGAGCACTACTTAAGTGAAAACTTTCATTAAGTTTTGTCTTGAATGCTCAGGGAGGGTAACGTTCTTGATTCTTTATTAAAACCAGACACAAGTATGGGAGGAGAATGAACCAGTTTTCCTGAAATCTTGCCTCCTCGTTGTGGAATGGGGTTGAGATGGACTGGTGTTACATATGTTCAAGTCCTAGGCTGCTTTGGCACTATCGGCCTTTGTAGTCCTACGGACTTGTACCATCTTCTTATTTATAGCCTGTCCAGTGTTGTCTCAGCTCTGAGATTGCACCTCCTCTGAGAATAGCTTTCTGAAAGTATTCTGGAGACCAGCAATTGACCTATAAATCTGTTCATGACTTAAAAGAAAATGTAAACAAAGAATTAAATTTCTGAAGCAAAAAGCTATTGCTTTTGAACTACATATAATTCGGAGATAGGGCAAAAACAGAGGATGAGATTGGAAGAATGTAGTAGCTGTACCTGAACGTGCCTGAGATACTACTTGAGGGGAGAAATGGTAGTGAATGGAACCAGAGATGATAAGATATTTCGACTGGAGCTGAAGACAGTTGTGAAAGAGGTGGTTTCTGTGCCCTGTGCCTCAAGCTGCGCCAGGGGAAGTTTCGGTTGGGTATTAGGAAAAACTTCTTCACCAAAAGGGCAGTCAGGCACTGGAACAGGCTGCCCAGGGAAGTGGTTGAGTGTCCATCCCGGGAGGTATTTAAAAGACGGGTAGACGTGGTGCTCAAGTTTGTGGTTTAGTGGTGGACTTGGCAGTGCTGGGTTAACGGTTGGACTCGATGATCTTAAGGGTCTTTTCTAACCTTAACGATTCTATGATCTGGGGTTCCAAACTTGAAGAAAAAGTTTATGAAGACACTAGAGGAAGGGGTTTTAGAACTAGAGATTGGTAATTAAGGTAAGAGTAGAATTGGTATCCATAAGTCTAGATAAGTACTGGCAAAGATTTAAAAATAGCAAGGATTAGCTTTGGGTCTTTTTTAGTGTATGAGTTTGAGCCCTGAATAATATGTTTACTGGCTTGAGAGACAATCCTAAAACTCTGTGTCCAAGGCAAGAGACTGAGTCAAACATGGTTGAAGAAGTCCTTCAAAGATAGATACTAGCAATAGGAAATTACATTAAATTAAAAGCAATTTAAGCAGATACAGACCAGCTACTAGACCATGTTGTTGTATTAGAATTCTGACTAGATGTTTTAAAGTTCCCTTCAAATCCATGCACTGCAGGAAGAATATAGACATGCATATCTGCAGTAAAGAAAGTAGTGTCTGCGTTTGGGGGAGAAAGGGGACGTAGCATGCCCTTCTGGAAGGGAGCAGTTGAAGTGTTTGGAATCTCTTTCTAGAGGCACAGCTCTTAAGCTGTGGAATATCGTTGTCTCTGCTGTATTTATCTCCTTTCTTATCAAAGCAGAGGCTTAGACTTGGCAGGTCTTTCTCTTGAATCTGTAGCCTCCCTTCTCATGCTGTAGAGTTAATGGAGAAGCAGTTGTTGTGTACGTTGGTATATTGTTGTACAATTTCTTTTCCACAAAATGCCGTTTTTTTCTGAACCTCTTTGAATGTCATAGCGTTTGTTGCAGTGGTGTAGTCACAAGAGGAAAGAGATGGACAAGTTAACTGCAAGGTCTTGACTCATGCTTTTTGTTGCAGTGTACTTTGTATCTTGAAAGGTTTGAATGGAAGTTTTCTAAAGGTTTGCCAGCTGATGTTTTATTGTTAAATATATTCCTTTCCATAATCAAGTATTTTTTCCCCTGAAAACACTGTTCCATTATCTTTAAAAAACACTTTACTCATTGCTACTATTTTATTGTAGTTAATAAAAATTCAAGAAGTCAATAAAAAATTAAATACCTTTACCAGAACTGCTTTTTGTAACTGACTGCTTTTAGTCTTACGCACTACAAAAATGCTGATTGTTAGCGGTATTGCTGAAATCTGCTGGATGAATGCTAAACATGACTTAACTGTGAAGTGTAAGACAAACCCCAAACACTGTTTCAATAACTGAGGCTTAAAGCCTCACAAGGTTTTGGATAAGTAGTCTTTTCTTCTGCATTGAGGAACTAGAAGATAGAGATGGCAAATAAGTTTGGAATATCTATTGATTAAGATGTAAAATAAGCTAAATAGATTTATATTCTACAGCCATCTTAATAGCTGCATCTTCTAATGTTGCCCTATAGAAACTGTAGAGATTAATTTTGACTTAAATAATATTATACAAATTGGATCATAGTCTTATAGTACCAGTTAGTGTTAACTGTAGAAAAGATTACTCCCAAAGCAAGCTAATTAGGATCTTGTGGTATAAATCTAAGTAAATGTAAAGCTGATCTTATCAATGACTCTTATGGGTACAATTAAGGTCTGTTGATCTTCCAAATAATTATTGGTCTTAATCTTTACCGCTGACGATATGTTGTGTAATAAGATGCCAAACAGGCTGTATGTCTCCTATTAAAGACAGCATTGCTTTGTCCTGGTGTGGAAGAAAATCATAGTTAAAAATGGATTTTAAAAGTAATTAAGGGAAAATTAATTATTAAGAAGTAAAGGGTTCTGTAAGAGTGCTGCAAACTTAGCAGCACTAAGTGACTTATTCTGGAGATACATTTAATGATCACGTTTTGGTGTTGTAGAACTACTATCATGTTTTGCAAATTATTTGAAGATTCTTCTTTTATCAGGGCAATGTTTATTTCTGTTACTCATTCTTCTTGGCAAGTCTTTAAAATTCAGTGTCCTTTCTGTAATTTAAAATATTAATGTAAAACTAACTTGGCTTTAGGATTGGTCTGTTGATAAATGGATTATTTGAATTGGTGCTTTGGAAGGAAGATCAGCATTATTTTGATCTATGTTTCTGTAGCATAATCATGTTGTTATGCTGTTGTGGTCTTGTTAAAAGAATATCTGAAGTTTTGGTATTAAAAGACTTCTGATGCATTTTTAATCTTTTAACTTAGACAATTGTGTCAAATTGTCTTTTTAAGCTTCAGGGCAAGATCACTTGTACTTATAAACCTCTGGAACTGAAGCTACACGGGTGGCTTATTTCTCGGGGTGACTCCTCTTACAGGTGGAGTTGAAACTGTGGGAGAACACAGAGGCTGTGACAAAGTAATTGTAGTTAGAATGAGACTGTGTTAATTCACTATAACAATAGTGTGCTTCCAAGAAACTTAAAATTTTGATTTTGAACTGTTGGAACAAGTAGCAGGGCAGAGCAGTGTAGGTAGTAAAGGGAAGGAGGAGCTGAACAGTTTCAGTATCTTATTACAATCTGATAATTTAAATGTCAATCATACTGAAACGCTTTTCTGAATTGGGCTTTTCCTGCTGCCTAGGTTTTACTTGGTGACTTTTTTTTTTTTTTTGGTGCTGCTTTGCAAAAATTCTATTTCTTGCAATGCAAATTGGTGTTACCGGGTTTGGGAGGGGCAGGAGCAAGACTACTAAGCAGGGGAGCACCTCCTAATTCTCACCAGATTTTCTTTTGAAATGCATCTGCAATATGTGCTACGTGCAGAGAGGTTTTGTTACTCACCAAGAAAAAAAAACCAAACCCTTCTACTGTTTTAATTTGGACATTTTAATGTTGTTTGTGATCTCTTTTTATCAAAGGAAAAACAGAAATCTAATCTTGAAATGTAATGCTTTACCTTTGTAGTTCTTAATTTTATCCTAGTAAAATGAAGACCCAAAGTAGTTAATTAGCTGAAAATGCTTTCGACTGCATGTCTTGCTTTTTCGTCTGAAATGTGTCAAGGTTTTTGTTATTGTAGGCACGGTTGGACTCGATCTTAAGGGTCTTTTCCAACCTTAACGATTCTATGATTTTATGATTCTATTGTTATGGTTCCTCTTTCCTGCCTCTCCATCTGACTTGATGCCTTAAACGAAAAAGGATTGAAACACACACCGTTGCTTAAAATGGTGATGACTTTTAGTAGAGATTAAGACTAATACCACCCACTTAGAGTTAGAATACATACTTGGGATTGTTAAAAAAAAATTATAAATTACAGTGATTTTGAGACTTGGAGTAGTGTGTCTCTTCTGGTAAGAAACATTTTAATTATAACCTATTATTTACAGTATGATGTGCAACTTTTTATAACGGGAAAATGTACAAATTATGTAGTTTTAGGGTTTTTTACATTGTATTTGCAAGCTCTTCTGCTGTTTTCTCTGTTATGCTTTACTTTGCCCCACTTCATTTTTCAGTTTATAGTAAAACATGATAAATGTCATTAAGGCAGCAAAGATGTGTTTTCTCCTGATGCATCTAGAAAAGGGGAAAAATTTACAAAGGTAATAGTAACGTATATGACAGTAAGGTTTTTTGGAACTTTCTACTGTAAGTGTTTTTTCCGCATATAAAACAATTTATGTACTCAAATGTTAAAAGTGCTGTGCATCTGGTAAGCACCTGTAGGTAAACTTGCTACTACTTGACAGAAATCTCCCATTTGGAAAGAAGCAGTCTCAGTTAGGGAGTCAAAGTGGGAGGCCACTGGTGTCATGGAAAAGGTTAAAAATGAAATGCCTTAGGGTTGGTGTCAGATTGAGACCTTCCTGGCAATACATGCATACAATCTAGGAGGAAAATAATGTTATTTGTTGGGTTACTATGTTACACGAAACTACTCTTCCTTGTTGAATTAGCAGCAGAAACTCAAGGTTAAGGAGCTGTTTCAGTACGTTTACATTTCAGTTGAACTGAACCACTGCCTTGTAAAACAAACTTTAAATTATTCAAGTTTAGTGGAAAGTCCACCAGCATGCAAAATTGTGCTGCTTCACCAATGATCAAAGAAGGCTTAAACTCTTTTCATTAGTTTACTGAACTGCACAAACATATATACTAACATTTGTGTGCAGTGATAAAAAAGTACTTAGGTGTTAGTTTTGTTTATCTGTTTGATGCTGTGAATTCCTGTGTAGCCAACTTCTATTAAATAATAAAGTCTAAACCAGTGCAGTTTCTTT